ATTTTGGTTGCTGGGGAGCTTGAACTTCATATTTGAACTTACTTTAATTGCAGGTTTTTGAAAAAAGAGTCTATTGAAATAAATACTCATCATTCAGCTCTTGGGTAGAATTAATTACAGTTAAGCCTTTTTTAGATGACGTGAGTCATGTTCTAATAAGGTTCTGTTTTTGATGGAGCTTTTCTAAAAAAAAATATTCAGTTTCGTCTGATTTTAATCTAATCTAACACCGGCCAACGTCTCAAATCCAACTTTTTTTATTTTCCATTTTAATATCAAATTTCAACGTCATAATATGTAAAGTGTTCGATTTTTCTGTCTGATATCCTCGTTATTTTTTTTTAAAAAACAAAATCTAATGGTTTGTCGTTTGAAGAGGTTTTGCAAAAAAGTTTTTGGTTCAAAACAAGTTTGTGCATGGGCAAATGGAATATCGATATTAGAATCTAAATTTTTAAAGAAGATAATTCTCAACTGCATTGAAATGTTCCTAAGCTCTAAAACTAGCCGAACAACAACAGCATTTTGCATACAACTGTACTAAAGGCTACTAAATTATGGACTTTATGCAAAACGTTCCGTTTTTAATTGTTAATTTTATTTGCTGCCACGGAAACGAACGTGCAGAAAAGCTTTAATCGCTTTTGTTCTAATATTAGTGTCGACTCGATAATTATTTTTTATAGCTGGCTAATTTTATTTTTTCTTTTCAGATTTAGATTTGTATAAAATATTTATTTTCTTTAGTGCGATGGAATACTACAAAGTATTTTTTCTCTCAAGTCAAGTCCATTAATGGTTAATCCGTTGTTAATTTATAAGACATTACAAAAGATTTACGAGGGATGTCAAAGTTAACTGAACAATTTGAGGTCCATCGGCTAGCTTTTATGATGATTGCCCGGGGTGGTTTTTTGCCGTTTACAGCTGCTCTGTACAAATGTCTTTGGGCCCCGAACAATAATTAAATAGGACGTCACACACGATGAAAATCTGAATTTAGTTTTTCTTCTTATTCTTGTAATCTCTTCGTCTGGATACTGAGTCGGAAAACTCAAGGAAAGTTGACTGGATAAACTAACAGTCTTATGACTTCGCGAGATTCCTGAACCTGAAAATGAACCCATATATTAGACAAACGAAATAGTTATTCACCTATTAAATGTGGAAAGTGATACTTTACAAGTTTCAAAATTCAAGAAGTAGATATTAACTCAAAATATTGATGAATTTCAAATGGAAATATGTAATTTTGAAGAAATCTTTATTAATTCTCCGTTTAGATTTTGACTCTACTAGAGCCGGGAATAAGAGTTTCATGCAACTTTCATTCAATAATCAGCTCTAGGAGAGTCATTGTCAATCGTCTCTTTGATCTCAACATGGAAAAGTTCCAAAATTCAAGAAGTGGCGGCGATACTTATTGATTATTTTCAGGTGGGATTTTGAAGAATTCATTTACATTTCTACATTTCGATTTTGACTCTACTAGAGCCGGGAATAAGAGTTTCATGCAACTTTCATTCAATAATCAGCTCTAGGAGAGTCATTGCCAATCGTCTCTTTGATCTCAACATGGAAAAGTTTCAAAATTCAAAAAATGGCGGCGATACTTATTGATTATTTTCAGGTGGGATTTTGAAGAATTCTTTTACATTTCTACATTTTGATTTTGACTCTACTAGAGTCAGGAATAAGAGTTTCATGCAACTTTCATTCAATAATTAGCTCTAGGAGAGTCAATTTTCAATCGTCTCTCTGATCTCAACATGAAAAGTTTCAAAATTCAAGAAGTGGCGGCGATACTTATTGATTATTTTCAGGTGGGATTTTGAAGAATTCTTTTACATTTCTACATTTCGATTTTGACTCTACTAGAGCCAGGAATAAGAGTTTTATGCAACTTTCATTCAATAATTAGCTCTAGGAGAGTCAATTTTCAATCGTCTCTCTGATCTCAACATGTAAAAGTTTCAAAATTCAAGAAGTGGCGGCGATACTTATTGATTATTTTCAGGTGGGATTTTGAAGAATTCTTTTACATTTCTACATTTCGATTTTGACTCTACTAGAGCCAGGAATATGAGTTTTATGCAACTTTCATTCAATAATTAGCTCTAGGAGAGTCAATTTTCAATCGTCTCTCTGATCTCAACATGTAAACGTTTCAAAATTCAAGAAGTGGCGGCGATACTTATTGATTATTTTCAGGTGGGATTTTGAAGAATTCTTTTACATTTCTACATTTCGATTTTGACTTTACTAGAGCCGGGAATAAGAGTTTTATGCAAATTTCATTCAATAAACGGCTCTAGGAGAGTCATTGCCAATCGTCTCTTTGATCTCAACATGGAAAAGTTCCAAAATTCAAGAAGTGGCGGCGATACTTATTGATTATTTTCAGGTGGGATTTTGAAGAATTCTTTCACATTTCTACATTTCGATTTTGACTCTACTAGAGCCAGGAATAAGAGTTTCATGCAACTTTCATTCAATAATTAGCTCTAGGAGAGTCAATTTTCAATCGTCTCTTTGATCTCAACATGGAATAGTTTCAAAATTCAAAAAAGACTTCACAAAATCTTTGGGAATATTTGAAAAAGAGTTAAAATGTTATCTTCTAAAGGTTCAAAATACTTTAATAATTCAATAACTAAAAGTTTATTTAGAATATTTTTTTTTTTTTGTGAGTATAAAATTGCTTGAAGTATAAATTACAGAATGGCAATGGTAAGTATATTTTGCACGCTCCGGAGTGCGTGAAATGTACTTTTCGCATGCTGTTCTAAATAATTGATTTCCTTCGTAAGTCAATTTAAGATCTAGGAAATCATTTGATTACAATTTGAATAATGTTTTTGAATCTTGTTGTTTGAAAGCAATGCTTGACAATAAAGTCGAGATTAAGTTCATAGAATAATTAAGTGAAGTTAAGGAAAAATTGTAGGTACACGTAGAAAAACTTAAACTTCAGTAGGTACCTATATAACCATTTATTGTACGACTGAAGGAAAGTGAATTGACTATGGAAGATTATTTAAAATTTGATTGACTTTTGAGTGAAATGACTTTTGAATATTTTTGCTAGGGGGAAAATTAGGAAAATATTATGCATATGACTATAAATATTTAAATGTATTTTTTGATTTTTACTTTCCACCCACGGGTTGAAAGTTTACTTTATTGTATTTTCAATTTTTTTACAAAATTCGAATGATTGTGAATGAAATAGTATACTGTGATAATGAGAGAATTAGGCATTTTTGTAATAAAACAACCTTCTTTTTTAAAGTTAATTCTAAATCTATTTTAATAAATCAAAGTACAATGCACCTATATGCCAAAGGTGCTAATTATTACAATATAATGCTTATTGATATAATTTCCTATGAAATAACCTCATCAATGTGCTTACATCTAATATTGGATATCATAAACTAACTATATACACAGTGATTTATTAATAACGTATTTCTATTTTTATTCTCAAACTACAATACATACCTCGGTTAAGTTTCATTACAGTCTCGAGAATTCAGTAAGACCTTGGCTGCGCCTCGGTCTAACTAAAATCTCACGAAAGTAATGAAACACTTTCCACCTCGGTATGTAATATACTACTTCCTGGGTCTTATGATGTTCCACTGTATCACACGCTATCAACAGATCATCAAAATATATTATAACATTTTCAAGATCCCCAAAGTTTTTATAATACATTTTTTGGAAATATTCAGGTGCCAGATTCAAGCCAATTGGTAACCTGCGAAATTTGAAACAACCAAACGGAGTAGCGAATTTTGTTGAATTACTAGAAGGTTCATCCAGTTTTATTTGATAAAACCCATCCTTGAAATCTAATACAGAAAAATATTTCTTACCTGCTAATCTAGAACTAATTTCTTCCAGACTAGGGATTTCAAAAAATTGCCCCTCAATGCACTTATTTAAGTCTTGAGGATCTGGACACAACCTTAAGGATTTATCAGGTTTTTCAAAATTACTAAATTTTTAACCCACTCACTTGCCTCATCTGCTCTGCTCATAATATTCTGTCTTTCTAAATATATCTAATGTTTGCTTCAACCTATCTTTTATAAGTAATGGTACCTACCCGCCTTGCAGGGTCTAGCTACAGGTATACTCTTTTCCATCAACTCTATTATTTTACAAAAAATATCCTGAAAAGTGCCTAAACCGTCAAAAAAATCTCTATTTTCACAAATTATTTTCTCTTTAACCACCATATGCTTCTAGCATGATACCAAAGTTTTTTAATTCGTGACATCCATTATCCTAACAAAATCATTGTAAAATTTTCCGTGGTAATATATCTACCTCAGAGCCTGCATCAATCTTGAAACCTATGTTCTTATCATGTACCTTCATATCTTCAACCCATATTACTTTATTTTTATTTTTCACTTCACCAACTTGCCTAATACTATGTACATAATAATTCATCAGTTTCTTCTCTTACAATGTCTATGCCTTTCTGAACAAGTTCTTTAATTTTTTTAACGTTCTTCCCTTGTCGGTTTTCAAATTTTTCTGCTAAACAAACAGTATTATAATAATTGTCTTTACCACATTTGAAGCATTTTTTTCCAAGCGCAGGACATTCTGCAAGTCCATGTTTACCATTGCACTTTTTACAGGGAAAGGTTTTTATCTTGTCATCTATTTTCTCTTTTCTTTTCAATCTCAATGCATCCACTCCAGAACATTATTTTTCTCTTGCTGACTGTAACTGATTTTTCGTTGCTTCAGCATTTCTACATACATAATGTCTACTGCTATTTCAAGTGGCAGTTTTTGTATATTCAATAGTTTATCTTGAACACTTGAATCAAAAAATCAAAATACTATTTTCTTGGGTATCATATTCATAGCTTTGAATTAATCAGGATTTGGTAGTTTTATATTATATAACCGATACTCATACCCACTTGATAATCATTATCAATATCGAGAAAATCCAAAATAAAACAATACTATCTTTCAAAACTATCTGTCTTTATTTTTTGTTTGTTATAAAATAGTTTTTATACAAAAATATATTTGATCATATTGCACGTATGAGGCCCCAATTCTTAGTAACATTATCTTCTAAGTATTATTATTTTTCAATGGTAACCACTTATAATCATTGAACTTGTTGAGAAAGCACTCAAGCCACAAGCCTAAAATAATATATACAAATTACACACTTATTTACAAGAAAAATATAATATTTACATCATTATTTTCAATATTAACTCAAAGCATATTGTTCTATATACATGTAGAAAGTTGTGTTTTTCCATACGAATTTTCAGGAAAGTAAATATGATGTGTTTTACGACAGTCAATAAGTAAAAACGTATGATATAACAATAGACATTCTCCGCAAAGACATTATTTTTTCAGAAAAATGAGGTAGATGGCAACATTGCATTACATGTTGCCAACCGCATAACACTGTTGAGGTATATTTTTCGGGCGAAAAAAATATAACTTTCTACACACGCAACCAAATATTAAAAGTATAGCACATATTTCGTTTGATAAAAATCAATAGCCTAATCTCTATTATGTACAGGTCCGACCATCATGAGTCTCTCAGTAGACCGTCTAAGTGCAGAAGGACCGTTCATAAAAATCCCAGAAGGTCCCGGAGCGATTCCGGTCATATTCTGGATCTGGTGCAAGCCTCCGGCATCCATAATATCTTCAGTGATCGATCGATTCCTGGATCGACGCTGTTGCAAGGCGAAATTTGCACCGGGACCTAGTGAAATCTGATGGTGCATCGCGGGAGTGGGATCACGCAATTTACGACTGTTCGGAATCGATTGGAGAGAGTCTTCGTAGCTACTGGAAAAACAATTTTGATTACCGGATACGAGCGGGAATGTTCAAATTACTTGCTGCTATCCTCTCCCGAACTTCTACTGCTACTATTCCCGCACTGGCACGAGTGAATCACATTATTTGCATCGGCAATGCCCGAATCGTGACCGCTGGAATGCAGGCTTGTTATGGATTTTTCCAATCCCATTGAACTTCTGGATCGGTCTCTGTAGCCGCTTAAACGTGCCGCTCCGTATCTTGGACAACTGATGTCATGACGTGACGGGGTGTAGTCCATTTGGACGTCATGAGAATTGCCATCCGGGGACATTTGGTAGCGTAAAGGGTCGCCATAGGGAGGTGGATAAAGGCCAGCTTTTGAAGAGTTGATACCGAAACTCAATGGAGATGAATAGCGTTTTAGACGTCTCTTTTTGCGCTTAAGACTCACAACGCAGATTGCTGTGATTAGAGCTCCTAGTAGAATAATACAGCCTAGAATTATTGCTCCAATTTCAATTGAGGAAAGTATTATTTTCGGGGTGCGTGTGTAGGATTTTTCTTTGTCTAGAAGACCTCCGGAGAATGATAGTACTTTGGGGCCTTCCAGTTTGGTTTCAATTTCGTTGTGCTTCCTCAGAAGTACCCTGGAAGGAGGATGTTTAATAAAAATCGAGACTAGACACATTCATTCACACTTGCCGCTTCTCGAGCGTGATAGGACATTGTCCTTGCGAGTGCGCATATCCGTAAAAAAAAAAAAAAAAAAAAAAAAAAAATTCAGAGAAATCATTAATAAGAAATATATTCTAGTCTTACTTTTCCAGTTGTGTCATATCCAAGATGGTGTTTAATGTCGGATCAACTGCATAAAGATACATATCGGTCCTGGAAAATCAACAATAAAACGATACTTAAAAGTTCCTTGACTCAATAAAACTTTTAACGGCCCACAGTAATAAAATAAACTTACGCTGTATTATCTACGTGGTTTCTTTCGTTGTGAGGCTCCAGTTTCCTGACACGTATATCAAATCCAGTTGTGTTAAAGAGCACCCTGGAAAATTTGCATTGAAAATTATTTCCAGCTTATTGATTGTTGGTTGATATTCAACTTACGTTGTTATATTACTAATGCTCTTTTCAGCTTCAGTAGGTTTTATTCCCATAACCATAACCACTTGCTTTTGTTCATCAAGAACATAAACCTGTTAAAAAAATTTGAATTTATTGTGAATATTAAGAATGCTGACTTAAGTTCTAATTTCTACTTTAATGTATTGAAACTATTTACCAGAACATTTGCAATCGAACTGTGTCCGTCATCTGCACCGCATTTGTCAGTTGCCTTTACATCGAACCCGAAAACTTTTCCTGCTTCCTTAGCGAAACTTGCAATAGAACGTACTTGTCCTGTAATGGAATCGATGGCAAACAGACGGTTTGCCTCCTCGTTTCTGCTCAGAATTTGGAAACGGATTTCACCGTTGATACCCAAATCTGGATCTGTAGCCTTAAAAAAAAAATTATTCGCTTTTCTAATATTTATTGCGTTCACATGTTGAGATAAAATCAAATTAAGGCCGAAAGTAAGATTTGTTCAACCGTTTGCTAATCAATTTCAGCTTTGTTGGTCCAGATAAATGACCAGGCCTAATTTCAACGATGAGACTTATTTGTTAAAGCCAGTTAACCTTGCCAGAGGCAATTTAACCCTTTTCAAGTCTCCAATATTACGTATAAATTGGGTCAGAATTATTTCAGTCAATTTACAACATGGTAAAATACAATTTAAAAATTCTTACTTGCAATCTTAGTACTTCATATCCATAACCAGCAGTAGCAGGAATAGCGGCAACAATTGGCCTTCCAGAAACCATAAATTTAGGAGAGTTATCATTAGTGTCAGTAATCCTGACGATAACTTTAACTTCATTCAGGCCTATGAAAAAACATTTTAGTCAGGGCAAATTATGAGATTGCAAATTCCTTACCTAAGTTTCCTAATTTCTCATTGGTAACGGGATAAACCATGACGGTCATATCCCTGCCAACTTTGTACTGATCCAGCCTTATAACCAGTTCGTACAAGGCCTTCATTTCTCGATCGGGACTGTCGATGATGAACAGCGTGCCGTTTTTAGGGTCGATTTTGAAAGTTTTCCTTACGTCACTGTTTTTTTCCGAAATAATGCTGTAACGTAGCTTGTGAGATTTGTAAGTTTCAGTGACGTTCAGAGTGAGGATTTTCAACGGTACTGGGACGTTTTCTTCTACTTCAACTTCATAGTAACGATGATTGAATACGGGACTTTCTACTGAAGTTATGTCTTCGGGAACGTCTATCACTGTAACTGAAGAAACTCAGTGTTACTCGGATGATGGACCAAAACATCATCAGAGTGACATTGTCTTGGACTTATTTAGGTATTTGTTGTATAGCAGATTGTAGCAGTTCCAGAAGAAAATCCACTCCTTTTTTACTGGGATTTCCCAAAATTGGAAGTTGACTTTTTTCGAATTGTTTTGGGAAAACAAAATATTCTACTCGGCAAAGGAGACGAGAAGAAACCAAAAAGTTCACTTGGCAATTTTATGTCCAACACCTCCTAAAGAAGTTCCAGAAGAAAATACACTTCTTTTTATTGGGATTTCATCCCTAAATTGGAAGTTGACTTTTTTCGAATTTCGAAAAAAACAAAATACCCTATCCGGTAAAGAAGGCGAAAAGAAACCGAAAAGGTCTCTTGACAATTTGACGTCCAACGTCCAACGTTTAACAGTGGATAGAGGATTTCCTCATCCTCCAGACAGAATTTGCACTCACGGTCTTCTACGATCCTTATCAGGCTCAGATGTCTGCTGAGGTGAGAGTATCCCGTAAGCATTTATTCATTCCGTACATGTATATGGCACCTAGCACAATCCCATTGGTCAGATTTAAAATTTGAACCAATTAAACTTCGAGTGCCATACGCGCGTACGGAATATAAATCAGTGCCATATGCACTTACGGAATGTCATACCTAGTGCATCAGAAAATTTTGTTAAGCCGAAAACGAGTTAAGCGTCGATTATTCATCAACTATAGGTATCTATTTTAAACTGCAGTAAATACTGTATCTCAAATTAAGTGCTAGTATGGCGTATTGATTTTCTAATTTTTTTAAGGAATTTCGAAGGTAATAATTTGGGTACCTAAGTATTATTAACACATTACAAACATGCAGTGTATCTATCTATAGTCTAAGTTTCGGTGAGCTAAACAAGAAAGCTTTATACAAAATCAGTGGGATGATCCATGTTTAATTGCATTGGGTTTATTTATTTCAACATTTTGAAAAAGATCATGTTTTTCTTTGGCCTTTTCTTGGCAGGTTCCCCAGTTGCTGGACGATCGACGGGCCTTTTTTTGCTTCCTCTTGTTCCTACTTTTCTTCTATTCATAGATGTAGACTGAACTTTAATGGTGGATTTTTGCCTATAGCGCTGGGCAAACAAACTTCCCGCAAGACACAAAACACTTTCCCAAGCGGTGCTTGTCTTCACCTGCTTTAATCGTTTAAAAAATGTGCGAATAGTTGAACTAGAAGTGCCAAATTCGCTATTTTTAGAAAGCATTAGATCAACAACATTCTGAAAGTTGTCAAAAATACAAATTCTTCCACCCATCTTCTAGCGTCATTTTCAGTCATTAGGTTTGCTCCATACTTTCCAGGACTCTGTTCAAAATATTTATAATTCAAAGATAGCAACGTTGTCGCAGCATACATGGCGATTTTAAACATTCAAATAAACACAAGAAATCTGATTAAAATAATGTCGGCAAAGCAATAGCTGCCAATTTCTTGTTCAAAACATTTTTGAGAAAATCGAAAAAGATGTAGAAGTACCTACCTACCTACCTATGTAAGCCCAACAATCACAAAAATAAAACAGGATATTTGGCCGCTGGAGACTTTGCTTGCGCATAACGCATAACTATATTACAATCCGTAAGTGCATATGGCACTGATTTACATTCCGTACGCGCGTATGGCACTCGAAGTTTAATTGGTTTAAATTTTAAATTTGACCAATAGGATTGTGCTAGGTGCCATATACATTTACGGAATGAATAAATGTATCCCATAAGAAGCCCTGTCAGTAATCTGAGGTCCTTCGTCTCTAACTCTAGAGCAGTCTTGGCATTATTGGGTTACCAGACTCCCATTAGAAGTTTGGCCTGCCAAATTCCCGTGCAGCCTCTCCAGAGCTCCTCAGACTTGCGGGACATCTCCTCGTTCAGGAGCGGCACCGCTGTCGAGTATGGTAGGCCTATCACCGGCTCTGGACCCATTGCTAAATCTGCTGAACCCGGACTGGCCAGACGGTCGGGCTCCTCGTTTCCTGGGACATCAGAGTGTCCCGGTACCCAGATGAGGTTCACCTCGTTTTGTCTGGCAACGGCGTTCTACACTCCGCCACCAGGGCTAAGTCCATTCTAGTGGAAGACAGGAGCAGTGCCGAACTGCTGTCTGAGTAGACATAAATATCCCTGAAAAACGGATGCATACAAGCCCAGGAAGTAGGTCAACCTGGCTCCCGTGGTCGCTCCATACACACCCGCCCCTGTACCACTGCCCGTCTTGGAGCCGTCTGTGTACCAGATGACACCGTTGGTGGGCTCCGGAGCGCCGGTTGTGTTCCTCCACTCTCCTCTGCTTGGAAAAAAGAATTTGAGAGGCTCTTGCGGCTGGTTGCTAGGCAGAGTCTTGTCCCTTTTCATTAGTAGAGCTGGGCAACGTCGTGTCGTCTCGCTCCATATGCGTATGTATCCTCGAGGATAGTTGTTGTTGTTCAGGTTTAAGTCCTTGCAGCCTGTATGCTGATATCAGGGCTTCATTTTCCAGAAACAGGTGAAGCGTTGTCAACCCGACCAGCCTTTCAATGGCTCTGGTTGGGGTCACACAAAGCCAAGGCTTCAAACTGTGCTCCAATTAAGCAATTTTTTTTTGTTTTTTTTTTTTGTTTCTCTCTCTCTCGATGTATCAAGGTGGTTGTATCCCTAAGAATTCGATCCTGTCTCTTCAATTAGAACCAAGGCAAGAACAAGGAAAGGAATTCGCCATAAAAAAAAAAAAACGTGAAATGGTACTCACCCAGTTTCAACTATAAAATCCCACAAAGTGGTTCTCAACTTCCCAAGGAAAATTGGGAAGATGCCAGCGGATTAGAAATTAACGTTGTAAACCGGCAAAAGAGAGTGATCAGCTTTCTTCAAAAATGGCCTGAATTTTCGCTCCTTCACAATTGGATATTCCAAATCAGGTGACTTTAGACATACCCGTCAGTCGAAACACCACAGAAAGAAACGTAATAAAGCCTGGCAACGTCGCTGACCCAATGCGGAAATATGCAGATACCTACTAATTATTCTCATTTATATTTTCAAATATTTCCTGATACTTTGGCGAATGAGACTATACACTTTTACATTTTGAGACAGGCATCTTCAGGATAGGTTGGCAAAGGAAAAAAATAAGCACGCATAAATTAAATTGTCACAACTCCCCCTTTCCTACGACAGGAGGAAAAGTAACAGAGGTAACTTTCCGACGATCAGCCAAGCTTGAGAAACAAGACAGAGATAGGGAACGTTAGAGAGAGGGAAAACCACATAACAATAAGCCAAGACATCAAATATGAAGTCCAAGTAAAGCTTCGTGTGAAGTATCCGCTTACTTCACCTTGAGAAAAACCACGAAGGTAAGATAACCATCATCAGGTAAAGTGAAAGTAAAGGTAAAAATAAGCAAAAATGGTAGAAGAGAAAAAAAAAAAAGAAAGAAAAGAAAGAGAAGGAAGGAAGCTTTGGCCGTCCTGTGGCGAAATCCCCTGGATCGTTCCCACCTGGTACCCAGTGCAGACAGAAAAAAAAATTCTAATAGGTACATTTTTTTATTTTGTTTTTAATTTTTATTTTGTTTGCAGATGTCATTTGAATTTTGCGTAGTTAACCAATGTTGCGTTTTACTCTCGAATTCCATAGTAGAACCTCGTGCACTGGTCTTGCACTGGATGCCAGTGAAGAACTCCCCAAAGTTCCCCACCACAAAATGACCAAAGAGTGGGTCGGGGGTTGGGTTGGAGTCGTTCTCATAGCACCAGTTGCCCCAATGCAGGCAAGCCTTTGAACACTGTCTAGCAGTGCCCTAGTCTTGGCCGTCTTTGTAACAGGGCCACCAGACGGTGACACCATAAATGATAACGGGTCGGAGGAATCCTGTGTATATCGAATGGTGGATCTTGAGTTTCAGGCCCTACGTGATACTGAAAGCCCTTTTACATTCCATAGGGCATTATTGGCTTTCTTGATTTTGCTGCTAAGTTGTTCTCTCCATGTCAACTTGTAGTCTATAATGATCCCAAGATATTTTGTTGACTCGGAACTAGGGATGGCTGCCTAATACTGAAACTGATCCCGCGGAACTGATCTTCACAGTGGGAACTGATCCAAATCACTTTTGCGTTGTCTACGTTGACTCGGACTCGGACTCAAATTCGGACTAATCGGATCGCGCCGCGCCAGCCGGCGGAACAGGGAAAAGTGCGGACTCAGACTAGAGACACGGAGTCAGAGACGGAGTACACTACACCGACTGACTCGTTTCGGTCAACAGCTCAGGATTATCGGGATCACGCCGCACCGGCGCGGCCGCTAGAATGAAAAGAGTACGAGAGTGAACCGATGATAAGATATAGATGGACCGGAACAAAAAAAAACTGATCTAGGTGCTTTATGATGTTATCCAGGGAATTTAGCAACCCTCTTGCTGTTTTCGCCAAAATAGGAAAAACCATTATTTCGGTTCAGTTCATCGTTCATCGGTTCTCGGTTCGACTCGGCCGGACTCGAACTTGGAACTGATCCATGGAACGGGTATCTGTTTGGGTCGGATCAGTTCTGAACTGATCCGTAAAATTTGTAGAATCAGCCATCCCTACTCGGAGCATCTGAGTTTGTGTTTAAAAAGGTGAACCTCAGGCATTTCGGCCTTGTCTGGGTTGACATTCAAGCTCTCTGTTTAGCACCAGCGTTCAACCAGCTGTAGGGCACGTGTCATTGGTTTACTCAGTCGTTCCGCAACCCGGTCCTGTATTGTCTCCTATTTCATTTTTTCTTTCCTCCACGGATCTTTAATTTCTTTTATGTTTCTTCTTTTTTTATCTTTTTCATTGTGTTTACTATCAATATTCCTCATTATACTTCGTTCTTCTTTCGCCATTTGCTTCATCGTTTTCCGAACTTTTTTTTTTCTTTGTCACATTCTGTAATTGTTCCCTGTTCCAGTTTACTTTTAATTCTCATTATCTTTCTACTTCTTCTACAATATCCAGTTTCACTTGTTCCGATAAATTTATCATTCACGTAACAAGTTCCATCTCTTCTTATTCTCATTAAAAAGTTGTATTTTTTCCATTTCAGAATGAGCAAAATAATAATTCCAAAAATATCCACAAAGTTCAAAATAAAACCAGTGCTGCTATCTATCCATCATGTGCGTAAAATACAAATATCTTTTATTCATTTACCAGTGCTGCCATCTAGTACCGGACGAGTTTTTTTTTTTTAATTGTGATAGTTTTTCTTGGCTATTTTTATTTTACATTCATTTGTATTTTCATTCAAAGAAATAGACCTATCTATTTTTACCTGTATGCGCGCGCAACATGAGGCAATGCATTTTTATTGGCTAACTAATACAGGTGAGGTGTACGTTTTGCACGCTAGGCATCTCCCTGTCTTTGTTCATTGGCCGTGGTCTGACAAGGATCAGAATTATGGTTGATAAATAACTTGACATAGCTTGACAAGTGATCAATTTTCAATTGTTTGTGTTTTTGATTGACAAATACGTTGCACGTCACGCGGTTTTCCTCCTTCCCTTTCTATCCCGTACAAATAATAAGAAGGAATTGCTATACATAAGTCTAACATGGTTTGGTACGTTTTGCCTCGTCTTGCGCAATAAGCGTTCTGCGTCTTTTTCTATGCAATAAAGTTTTCGTATTATTACCTCTTTGTCTGGTAAAATAGATAGAGGTGTATCTCAATTTTAGCAAATGGATATATTTCTATCTTTCTCTAACTTCTGATTCTGAAATAATAATTTTTTGGCTTAATGACCTAATTAATTAGCAGTTTTTTATTTTTGACATAACCTTAATTTAAATTATTATAATTTGTAAACAATTAAAATAATTCTAATGCATTTTTATCTATTCTCTTTTACTCCACGTGGGTTTTCATTGTGATTTCATTGTAAAGTGAATATGATCTTTTGGGTGTACTCGTCTGAATGGTTGAACTGGTTAAAATGCAGTTAAGTATAAAAAACACAGGATCGTTTTCCTGTGGGCTTTGGTTTCTAAAACGTTCTTTTTCCTCGACAGAAGTCTGACAGGCAAGTCATTTTTACTTTTAATAATTTTTGCTCTTAATTTTTGGATTCTCCCTTATAGATTTTTCAATATATTTTGCTGTCAATTCATATTATCATATCATTGTTAAGTTTTTACATGATAAATCTTATCTTATTTATTCTTGAAATATAAATATTATATATATTTTTTTTAAATCTAATTGTTGGCTTCCATTTTGTGTGAGTGCTGATTGGTAGTGCCACGTTTATCTGAGGTAAGTCAATTCAGATTTCTGGATTTAAATAGGTACTGCTGCTCTGGTTTTCAGAATCAATTGTTAGTGTGGGAATATTAGAACATTTGCTCTAAATAGACTCAGTGAAAACCAAATTTGTGTGTCCATCCCTATCAACTCTTTATTGAATCCAGGCAGAGGCCTCAATAGCTATTTTCTGTTCGACTCCGTCAATTATTATTTCGACTAAAGGGTGTAATTTTTTAATAGAAATCCAGACAGGTCAAAAAAATCAGTAAAAAGTTTTAATTAGAACATCTCAAGAGTTTTGACATATTTTGGATTTGATTGATTTCACCGTCAGGTTTATCTTGTAGTATCTATCTTAATTCAAAAGGAAAATTTTGTCTATTTGGGGGAGAATCCAAAGATTTAATTTCTTATTGTTTCACCTTATTTTGTTCATATTTTTGCCTGCCAGAACTACTGTCAGGAAAGCAGCATTTTGCTCAATCATAACGAGCATTTTAATTTAATCTTGTTACCTAGGTTATCTTGTCTTAAAGTAACAAATAATCATTTAATTTGTAACACACTTTGTCAAAATTGATTCCTATTTTCAATATCCAAATGTTTCAATGCCAGAAAATCAAACTGGTTGTTTTTTCTATACCAAAATCTACTTACTGATTAATAATGCCGTCGAGCTGAGACTGGGCGAACCAAGGTCCGATGCGACAATGGTCACGTTGTGCGACCTTTGCGTCTCGTAATCCAGCTTCCCAATGGTCGTAATTATGCCCTCCTTTGAATCTATCGCAAATAGATTCGCGTTGCCCTTGCGAAACGGAATATCAAACAGAATTAATCCGTTGCCATTGCCGCTGAAATCCGAATCGTTCGCGAACACACGCGTAATTGGAGTACCTATAGAATCAGAAATATTATTGTGTGAGAATTTGAAAGTGCAAATCTATTATTACCTATTGGACTATTTTCTGAAGCTGTTGCATAATACACTGGTACTTTATTGTTGTTATAATAATGGTTTGTGTGTTGTGGGACGACATTATTAGCTAAAAGGTCGTCGTATCCGTAAAACACTGGCGGATTATCGTTTACGTCCAAAACATTAACTTCAACGTTGACGGAATTACTCAAAGACTTGCCATCGATTGGATTATCTTTAGCTGAAACCATAAACGAATATTTATCTTTGGTTTCGCGGTCTAACAGGCCGTCAACTGTCAATTGTCCAGTTAACATTGAAATGGAAAATGGTACTCTTGAATTATCATCGGTTTTGATCGAGTAGGAAATGTTGGCGTTGGAGCCGAAATCTGAGTCCATTGCTTCAATTTTACCTAAAAATTTGGTTTGTTTCGAACTATCAAATCAATTTATTGTAAATTATTACCTAAAACCTTCCGAGTATAAGACGCCTCCTCAGTATCAAAACTATAAGAAGACTTCTTAAATATCGGGGTGTGATCGTTAACATCCTTAACCAAAATCCTCACTGAAATGTAATCTCTCAATAATCCCTTATCTGTTGCAGAGATGTTTAATCGGAATTCGGATTCGGGTGGCAATGTTCTGGCCACCGATATTTCTCCATTAGCCGGATGTACCATGAAGTATTGAATCAAATGAAATGGTTCTGCGGATTTTTCGTTAGGTATGTAAGTTTCGGATATCATTTCGTACTTTACGGCTGCGTTTTCTGCTGAATCTTTATCCTGAGCTATTAGTTTGACGATAGTATTACCTGCAAAGAGAAATCATTGATATTCATAATAGGAAATGGGTTGAACTTTCAAATTTTATCATATGTTGAAATTGTTACCGATAAATACTAATCACAAGAAAACCAAAAACAGAAAAATCTGACTAAATCAAACATAGACTACTTAACTGAACAGTGAATAGGAAATAACGGCGCAGCTGAGCAAAAAAAAAAGTTAAAAAATTGAAGCAATTTTCAATTATACTGATTCTTACCTACACCAATATCCTCGGGAACAGAAATTACAGGCGACATCTTCTGTTTAGGCCTCTTAGCTCTCAAATAAGCTTGCGTCAGCATAAATTTCGTAACATTACTGTTCTTAACTTCTTCGAAATGCTCGACCCTATTACCGTCACGATCGTAATCCAGAATTTTTATACCCCTCTTAGTGTACATCTCAATTTCATTAAATATCGGCGCATTATCATTTTCGTCTTCGACTTGTATAATTAATTTCGCCTCGCTGTATAATCCCCCTTTATCTTTCGCCACCAGTCTCAGGTTGTAGACACTAATCGTTTCGCGGTCCAACGGCGTGCTGGAGCTTATAAATTGGATTTTTCCAGTGTTCTTGTCCAGGCGGAATATTTCGCTGCCGTTTCCGAAAATGGTCACCGTAAATTGGCCGTTCGTTCCGATATCGTTGTCGCTCACGTGGACGGGGAAATTCAGGTCCACTTCGGTACCCGATTTGCAGTTTTCTTTGATTTTGCCTTCGTAAATATTGCGTTCGAAGGTCGGTTTGTTGTCGTTGTCGTCGTCGACGAAAATTGTCACTTGGTAGATGCCGGATCCCAAAACGGAACCTGAAACAATTTATTTATTTTCAGAGTTTTGATGCAGAAGCAATAAGGACTCTATAAAATATAGAATCTGAAATGTGAGTTTATGTAGGGACTGCAAAAAAATGCCTGGATTAGTGTTGGAGCTTTATAGAAAATGCCATTGATTTTCCATCGAGTTCCTTGATTTTCAACATCTGGTCAGCAAGAAATCGCGTTGTCAACTGAAAAGCTTGAAAAGTGAAAGTTTTTCGGAGATAAGCTATAGAAGAAAGAGAAGAAGAATAAGAGTTTCTGTAGTTGATGAAAATCTACAGCTTTCACACTTATCTAGAGATATGGGAATATCTATATTTGGAAATTTTGTGGTAGAAACTGATAAAGATAAAATAGGAAGAGGAGTAGAATCATTGTTAGGTGAAGTTGGTATCTTGAATCTTCAAATTCATCATCTTCCCAATGTAGGTAGACTGATTGATGAAACATATAACTGATGACTTTGGAGAATTACTTTTCAACATTTTTTTTCTGATTGTCCTGATGCAGAAATGTTTTCAATTGGTTTCGTCTCAGAATCAGAATTTCTTAAAACATTGGAACTTTTCAGAAAACTGAATTTTTTCTTGAATCACTATCAAGTGAATTCTGAGGAATCCAATATAATCAATTGTGATTCTCTATACAATATTTTTTTGGAAAATCCTAATTTCCAAAATACCTACTTACCTTTATCATATTCAGCTATAACAGTTAGTCTATAAACATCTCTAACTTCCCTATCCAAAGACCTCAACGTGTGCAAAGTACCATCAGTAGTTATAGCAATAACATCAGTCACATCTTTCTGGTTAGCAATTGAAAATTTCAAACCGCTAGTCATATTATTTCTGAAGCCCAATTTCCCAATTAAAACATTCGGCTGGTTTTCCTTTACGTGAAACTCCAAAGGAGAATTGCCTGTCCTAAAACAATAGTTTGAATTTTTTTGAAGCTCGAAAAAAACTCAATCTTACTTCATCAGTATTGTTTTTTCGTCTTTAGGATCAACAACGTGTAAAGTGACGTTTGTTACCAAAGACAAATCTTTATCGTTACTCACTACACCTTCGAAATCGTAATTTAATCTAATGTATTTTTTGAGTTCATCTACAACTGTGAGGACTCCTGTGTTTTCTTCTACAGCAAATGGAACTAAAACAAATTGATCATTATATTCAAATTTCATCATTATATCGAATATTTACCTCCTTCATGATAGCTGTGCAACAAATCAAAAGAAATTTTACTTCTATCCGGCACATTGGTGATACGCATTTGTCCGATACTGGTACCAATACCAACATTAGCTCCGACCCAGAATTCGTACGGCGCTCCAATGAATTCAGGGAAATCTTTGTCACCTAAATAAAACATGAATTCAAAATTTAAATCGACATCAGTATAAATCCAACTGCCCCAATAAAACCCTCGTGATGGGTTAATGAAACTCCTATGCCAACGACCAGTCATTTGAAAGTTTTTAGTGTTTTGCTGAATTTCGTTTTATTTCCGGAGAGGAACAATTGTCTGTTTTATATTTTTACTAAAACATTTTATTGGCGGAAAACAGAGTTAATTAAAATTGTTCGGTTTAAAAGCAGTTTTTTAGTGCATCATGCGTCATCTGTTATGTATTTATGAAGTAAAACATCAATTTGTACAGTAGATCGAGTTGGCTTTGAAATGGAATCACGCCATCTATTGCCAACGGAATAAGCAGAGGGTTTTCGAGTATCGACTCTTCTCGTGGGGGGATTTTTAGATCCGATTTAATTGGGGATAGATTTGAAGTTCAATAGCTGGAATAACCTGGATCGACGACACCATGTTGGAATTATTTTCAGATGGCGCTGCAATGAAGTTTTGAATAAGGTTACTGTTTTGGAAGTTTTTGAAACTGGATAGCTCTATACTTAGAATTCTCTATATGAAATCCAGATCTAATTTCGAATGTGTTCACAAATTTTTGTCCGAGGTTTTCACGTATTTTCACATGTTTATGGGTATTTTGATTATCTAAAGCACTTCACGACCACTAAATAACGTTCTTCGCAATGGGTGGACTATCTGCTTCTGGTTTTTCTCATAACTAATGAGCTCAAACAGAAAAATGCTGAAGTGGCCGCAGACTCGAAACATTTGCGAATACAGGTTGTAATGACCCGGGAAAAATAGACCCGTAATTTACAAGGACTTGAAATACAAAAACAGTAAATTTAAATGTAATCAAATATTATAAATTGAATCAAATTATCTAATGTAAACTAAATCTCCAATATTCAATATTAGAAGACAAATTAATTGAAATATCTTAAATACCTACGTTCAAATTTTGATAGTTAGTCACCAAGCGTGTATCATCACATTGAACTCATCATAAATCAAATCCATAAAAATATTAAAATACAAGGTTAGATAATTACATTGGGTCCCAAATTGACAGAATTATAATAAAATCATGATTTACGGTCGGCACGAGTGCGGCTTTACTTTGAGTTAGGTGTCCTCCGCATTCTTTCAAATCTGTTGACCCCGATAATCCAGGAAATTGCGACATACGGTTTTAGACAAATAATTATATTTCCTGGAAAAGACGAATGTTGATGAAGGTTCATGGCCCGAAATTTTTTGGGGGATCGAAAAATATAAAAACAGCGGTTTCGGAATTTTGGAAGCAGTTCAGTCTGCTTCAGATCAGCTCAGCTTAGAGTCTTGACTGTATAGTAATCAAGCAGTCGTGATCAATTAGTTGAGATTAATGAGTCAGTTCGGATAAAATTCGTGAAGAGGTTCTTTTATTTTGTTGCCTCGGGAAAACGCGTTGAATCGAATCATTGAAAAAGTAGAAAAGTGAAAGAAAGAACATTTAAATTCATTTAACATTATGTGCGAGCTCTAAATAATGGAAAGAATTATTTTAGAATAATTTAGTGTTTTTGAGGACCAATGTAAGTACTCTAGTGACATGTTTATTTGACTTTATCAATGAGGGCTTTGACATGCACCTCAAAACTAGTCTGGAATTGTAAATAGACGCTTAAAATACTAGCGACATACAAACAGTCACATGCCTGGTCATCGAGTCATAGAAGGAAACGAAGAAGCAGATGGCCTCAACACCATACCATAGACCAGAGCCTTATTGTGGCCTAATGAAACGCCACATCATGGAAGAATTCAGCAAATGGGAGAAGGACCAACTGTCATTATATTGGAGGCACACTCCGGGACTAAGACAGTCAAAAAGGTTTATCACCTTTTCAGCAAAAAGAGGTGAACAGCTCCTAAACATGAGCAGACCAGACATCAGAATGGTCGTAGGATTGCTCACAGGAGACTGCCTGGTGAAATACCACTTGAGGTTAATGGGCAGAGCAGAAGACGATCTCTGCAGATTCTTCTCAGACGCAATAGCGACCGCAGAGCACCTGCTCTGCGAATGTTCAGCCCAATTCTGCAAGAGGCTCAAATTCCAAATACACCAGTTTCAGCCTAATCTACAAAAACACATTAAAATTGACGCACAAGAGGATATGGCCAAGGTCCTTAGCTGCACAGTGCCAAAGTGTTTATGTGTAACCTCTCTGCAATGGAACTCCACCTGCTCTGCCACCGAACACCTATTCACAGATAGAAATATCAGAAATATCATGTACACCTGAAAAAGTGACGGCCGCCATGCCCGCCATGGGTTCCCTCAAGACCGACACCAGCCTTGGACCAAATCCCTGCAGTATTTCTGTAACGGTGTCAAGAGACACTATGCAAGCTATTATCGGAGGTAATGAATGACATATTTCGCACAGGACCTTTTCCTGAGATTTGGAGGAAGGCAAATGTTGTTCCAATATTCAAGGAAGGCAACAAACAGCTATCTGAACACTACAGGCCAATCAGTTTAACCAACCATTGTCATCTGCAAATGCCTGGAGGAAATACTAGTAGGTGCGCTAACAACCTTTTTCCTGGACAACCATATTATAATCCCTAATGAACAGCATAGCTTCCTTTTTCGGAGGTCTACCACGAGGTCTACCATAACAAACCTGTTGACCAGACTGCAGAAACGGACCTATGCTGATGATAACCAACAACCCATAGATGTTGTGTACTCAGACTTCGAGAAGGCTTTTGACAAAATCCCTATCAACCTGCTCATCTACAAACTTCAGCACTACGATATTCGGGGACAGCTTCTGCGGTTCATCCTTCGGGCTCGAAAATTTCAGGTACCAGTAGGATCGGCAGTGTCAAAGGAGCTCAGTGTTTACAGTGGTGTTCCACTGGGCTCAGTTCTGGCCCCCTACTGTTCATCCTTTACTTGAGTGACTTGTATGCGGGTCTGAAGACCAACCCTCTATCTTTTGCAGATGGCATAAACATATTCTGTCATCTCGTGGAGCAATTCAATAACCATTCTTCAAATGGGCAAGATTTACAAAGTTATAAGCCAGAAGGACTTGGGTGTCAATATACCAGATAATTTGAAATTTAATTTACCTCATCAAGACCTCTTTCGAGATCACTCCAGCGCGATGATCCTGAAGCTGTATAAGACATATCTAAGACCTAAACTGGAGTAAGGACAGCGCATCTGGAGCTCCTACTATATTAGGGATATAGAAATCCTTGAAAGAGTGCAAAGATCCAGAGCTCCGAAACCTCCCATACGAAACCAGGCTGAATAGGCTGAACTTGACTACTCTTACAGAGAGAAGGCTAAGAGGTGACCTTATTAAAACCTTTAAAATCACGAGCGGACTCTACGGGTGTAACTTGGATATGTTTCACCTTAGTCAAGTTGAAAACCTTGGAGGTCACAACAAATACCTTTGTGAAGATCGATGTAACAAGTTGCTGCGAAGAACTTTCCTGACCAACAGGAGGGAATAGGCTAGAGGAGGACACTAGAAATGCGACCTCACTGAACCAGTTTAAGAACAGAATAGATTGTGCAATTTGAAGAAGCAGAAGAAGAAGAAGAGTCAGTTCAAATAAGAGCTTGGTTGTGAGCAGTTTGAATAAGGGTGTTGTTAGTGATGATTGAATTATATAAAGTCAATTTAAGGGATACAAGAATAGTAACTTTATTATTGATTTTGACATCGGAGAACAAGTAATTTTCTAGAACATTCCATTGTGTTTTAGTTGGAAGTTTTACTTCGCCACAGAACTTTAGATTCAAAATCAATTTCCAGGAAAGATACAGAATAGTATATGTAAGTACACGACAGCAAACAGCCGAAATGGAGCAAATTAATCAAATGTTGGCGAAGTTTATAAACGATTCGACAAGAGACAAGAAGAGGAAGCCCGAGCCCCGAAGACAGAAAGAGAAACAGGATGAACAGGACTGATGAAAGTGCTGCAACTTTCACAACAAGAAGAAGATCGAAAACAAAAAGAAAAACAAGAAAAAGAAGACCAAATGCAGAAACAAAAACAAGAAGAAGAAGACCGAAAACAGAGAGAACCGGTTGCAGCACTTTTACAACAACAAGAAGATCGAAGACAGAAAGAGAAACAAGAAGAACAGTGCCGGCTTCATAAAAACTTGAAATTTCAGCGTGAATGGATGCAAACCGTAATTTCTGTGGAACAAAAAAGACTCGAGAAAATTCTGGAGAAATGCGTGAAGAAGTTGGGAATGTTCGTAACAAAGTTGGGCGTGTTCGTCAGTAAGTTGAGAGTGTTCGTCAGGAAGTTGGGAGTGTTCGTCAGGAAGTTGGGAGTGTTTTTCACGAGGTTCGTCAGGAAGTTGAGACTATTCGCCAAGAAATGAGTTTTGAAAAGTTGGAATGTGAATTGAAATCAGTGAATGTTTTGCCCTCTCTACTTCAAACATAATTAAAATTCAACGATAGTGGTGGACAGACATTATGGACCATTTAGGTATTCGAGACTGTTGCAATGGCTAATGGCTGGAGCTCCGATGACAGGGGCAAGGGCTACAGGCTTGATTGTAGCATTGCCTTAGATCTACTAGAGACTCTTCCGCCAGCTTTCCAACGAAACTATGACGCGCTTGTAAATGCGTCAGCGCGTCGTTATGGAAATCAACACCGAAGGCAGCTTTACCAGGTTTAACTAAGAACAAGGCAACAAGAAGCTGCAAAAAGCCTACAAGAATTTGAAACCGACATCCGCCGTCTGGTTATTTTGGCCTACCCAGAAGCAGCAGCAGAAATGCGAGAATAACTAGTGACTGAAAACTTTCTATATAGAATTAGAGATATTGATGTATAGAAAATGTTGCCACCATCAAATATCAAAATCAGGCCCTAGAAACCGAGGCGGCTTATAAGATTAGAGATGTATCGACTCATGAAGAAAAAGAGCCAATAGGAATAATTAACCGCACTATGTTGGAGGAATTTGTGGAAGCATTACGAAAGGCTGTAATCAGAAATAAATTGGGGAACTTGGAAGGGAGCATTAAATGTTACCGCTGCGAAAGAAGGGGATATTTTAGTCGTGAGTGTAGGTTACGGTTGAGATTTCGCTTTCCTTCCAACGAACCTCCTTCAATGGGTAACTTGAACAAGAGCTTCGAACGCCGGAGAAGAGGACATTTTAAACGCAACTGTAGAGTACAATCAAGATTCTGCTCTCCTTCTGATGAATGTCAACCTTCGATTGAGAACTTGTTACCCTGAGCATGCCCAAATCCAGACAAGAACTGCCTCAGAATTGATCAGCTAGAAAGAGTTCCTGTTAGAAGCTTTCCATTGGATGCGTTTCAAGAACGGGGTCCCGTACAGCTGGGAAGTGATCAACTAGAAGAGAGTGGCATCGACCTCGAATCATTTTTCGACATTAAAAAAGGCGGGGGCAAGCGAAGAAAGAAAGACCAGGAACAAGAAGATTGGCCAATTATACGACTAATGCTGATCCCCAAGGTCAAAGTTATCCTTCTAACGGCCGCTTTGCGAATTTCCATCAAGAGAAGTGCTACCAATGCTGCGACCATCCACGAAAGCGCAGAAAAGGGAGTTGACAGCATGGCAATCAACCAGGTAGTCAATCGTCTATGTAGTATCCATGGCGTCAGTTCAAGGAAAGACGACCCACGCATACATGAGGGTAGATCTAGGAAGTCAGGAAGGCCGAGCGGTCTAAGGCGCAGTGTTCAGGTCGCAGTCCACTTAGACAGTCATAGAGATGTTAGGCAAAAGCATGGATAAAATCATTATGGATCTGAGTGAAGATATAGACGAAGAAGAAGAGGTGCGTTTTGGAAGACGACCTGATTTGAGTGTTACGAAATTGCCTCAGGAACTCGGCTCAATTATAAGAATGCAATTGTCTGCGCAAACATTTCGGAGAATTCTATTCAAGTAGGCCGCCGGGTTTTTCTAGATAAATTTCGCGTACGCTGTCTGCTATAAATAGCGCGTAGTAGTATTAAGTAGGAGTCAGTCTAAATAAGAGAGTAGTTGGTAGTGGAGTTCGGCTAATCCTCAGCGAACAAAAAGATGACAGGCCCACGTGATCAGTTTTAAAACTTCAAATTGTAGGTCACTATAATGGTTTTCTGTCAACAGTGTCATTTTTCAGACCGCGGAGGATTAGCTGAACTCGCCTAATATTCAATAAAAGATTATGACTATTTTGTGAAGTGAGTTTAGTGAACCCGGAATCCGTGACAATACTCTAAACCAAAAAAATAAAAAGTCTTACCTTTATTTTTCACATCAATAGTGACCACAGCCAAAGACGTACGTCTCTCACTAGGATTAATAGGCTGATCAGCGGCTTCGATGAACAATAAATGCTTTTCGGCCACCAACTTATCCGCAGTTACAAATATTTTGCCTGTTTTCGCTTCGATATCGAAAGAGTCGCTATTATTCGAAGACTTTTGGAGCGAAAATATTACGACGCCGTTTCTGCCCAGATCAGGATCGACTGCATGGATTTGCCCGACTAAAAATTAATTTTGACTTTTAAGAAGTTTGAGTTTTAAACTAATTTCAAGTTTTTTGAATTGCAAATTTTCAATCTCATTATAATTTTGTAAGATTTGTCTCAAAGTGATTTCTCAAGAGGGGCTCAAAGTTCCGTAATTCGTTCTAAGAAGCTTAGGATTCAAATTTAATTACCTACTTTGCATTTAAGTGAAATTGTAATTCTTGTTTTTATCATTTTAAAAATAATATTTACTAAGAAAATTATTTGATGCTTACCAAGATCTCCTTTTTTCGCTGGCGTATAAACAACAAAATCGTACAAATTTGTTGGAATAAACGCTGGATTATTATCGTTGGCATCCAATAAAGTAACATCAATATTAACCGAAGATCCTACGTCGTTTGTAATCATGCTTGGAACTTTTTCTTTGGCGTAAACTTTCATTTTGATCGCCGAACGTTTTTCGCGATCAAGAACCGCTTGATCTCGAACCTAAATAATCATTTTAAAAATTGTAATCTTTCTGTTAAATTGAGATTCTTACTGTCAACCATCCAGTTCGAGCGTCCAAGGAAAAAGCTCCAGATTTGTCGTCTAGCTGATAGGAAAAATCAGCATTATCTCCTTGATCCTGATCAGTAGCCATGATTTGCAACACGCTGAAGCCATTTGGCAAATTTTCGACTATACTGATGTTGTAAAAATCGACTTCAAACTCTGGCAAATTGTCGTTCAAGTCGATTATTTCAACTTCGACACGTGCCAGGCCTGTTTTTAACGGATTATCCACCTATAATAATTATGAATCAATAAAACTTTATTCTCGAACCAAATTTTTATGAACAATTCTTTACCTGTGAGGCCTGTATTTGTAAAACAAAGGTGTTTCCTGGCAAAGCCCTTTCGCCATCCAAATCAATTTCTCGTTCCAGAAACAAGGATCCATTGACGTGGTCCAGGTAAAATAGATGGCGTTCGTTGCCGGCTATTATATCGTATCTGATTGCCGTGTCGATGGCAAAATCTTGATCGAATGCGTAAATGGGGGGTTGAAATGAGAGGAGCTCGTGGATTTTTGCACCCTGAAAAATTTGACTAGTTGCGTATAAAACAGATATCTTGAAAATTTGAGAAAAATTATGTAGATATCAAAAACGGTGCTTCTATTATATTTGAAGTTATAATTTTTATGTATGTATCGTAGGTCTTACCGTAATAGGATAAAACTCATGAATCCTAGTCCTATAAACTCCTTTAGTAAATTTCGGCGGTAAGTCATCGTTGTCGTTGATTCTGATTTTGAGAGTGGTGTTGGTACTTCTGGGAGGACTTCCACGATCCTGAAGAATAAATTCAAAACTTACTACTACAAAAAATCGTGATTTCGTAAACTAAACTTGGGTGTGTTGAGAAAATAAAAAAAAACCTTTCATAGCTTTATGGATTTTATTGGTCAATTGTACGTCCTTTTACCGAACGAATATGGATTTACGTCGGTGCTAATGAATTGCATCGGACCCAAACGATAAATAACACTTTCAGTTTCGAATTATTGGAGCTTTTGTTGCACGAGTTTGTTCTGCAATAGTCCATTTTCATAATAAATTACTTGTGTTTTTTTTTTGTTAATAAAATAATTAGCACCATCACTTATTATACAACCATGGTAAAAAGCATGGTATGTGCTTTTTAATAATAAATAGCACATGGAGTGATTGACTTATTTGGCAGGAAAGTTTTAAAAGGGCTTCTTAATTGACATCTTACCTCGAACTCGGCATTTAATATATAGTAGGTCTGTTTCTGCAGAAATCCCAAACCAGAGTGAACTTCATTGGTTGAAACTAGTTTTCTGACTGTTTTCAACCAATGAAATTCGCTGTGACTGGTTTGTGATTTCTGCAAAAACAGACCTAGTTTGAATTTTTCTGGGCAGTAGTCCAGAAATAACTCCGGCCATCATTATTTTTCTGATATCTGAATACCGCCTTGACAACAAAATAGTCCACCTTCAAAATTGACCTTGCCATAAGGAAATTGTTATCATGGACTTTGGTGATAAATAATAGTGGATACCGTTTAATTCTCTGTTACATTACTTGTTTTTGATTAATTAGGCACGACCAAGTCTTTGTAAAATGAAACAATAATTAGAGCACCTTTGTTCCACTACTTATTGTTTTGATTAATTATAAGGTACAATCAAGTTTAACAACAAAAAACAATAATTAGAGCACCTTCATGTTATGCTAAGTCATTGGTAATAAGAAAATTAATTTCCTACCCATTTAACTAAAACCAGAATTATTATGGGGCGCCAATTCTTGAATTGCATTAAAAATGTGGTCTTTGTTTATTGACCAGAGATACTGCTGGCTTCAAGAGTTAATACCCTTAGAAAAAGCTGTATCAGAATCTTAACTTAACTTAAATTTTCAGTTCTAACGAAGACATAATCCGTCTTATACGAAATGGCGAACATGACAAAATCGGCATTGAAAAGCTGAAATGTCTTCAGAAAATTTTGCCAAAAGTCGACGAGCTCGACATGCTAAACTCTTTCAAAGGCGACACGCTAAAACTGGGAAACGCTGAAAAAAATATTAATGCAATTAACAAGTTTTTCCAAGTGAGGGTTTTTCAATGTCAGAACTTCATTTATGAGATTTTTTCAAATTATAAGTTGAGAATCGAAAGTATGCTTCTCAAAGAGGAATTTGAATCGAACATGAGCTACGTAAAGCCCAGCATTAATTCAATGATGATAGCTGCCCAACAATGACAGATAAAGCATTGCAAGAGGTTTTGTATGTGGTGTTAATGCTAGAAACTTTTTGAATGCGGAAAACAAGCATTTTGGAAATGAAGCGAGCCATAACTTTTCTTTTTATTTTCCGTAGGTTGAAAAATTCACATTAGCACCTGTCGTAGTTTCTGAGGAAATAGGTACTCATTTTTTTTTCTCACAAAAAAGTGGGCCGTTTCACAAATCTTGTAAATTTGTTCATCATCATCATCATCATCATTTAGCCTTGGTTCGTCCACTGCTGGACATAAGCCTCTCCTAGACATTTCAATTTTTTCCTGTCCTGTGCGGTTGTTGTCCAGTTGGTGCTAATCCTTTTTACGTCATCCGGTCTATTTGGTGGGCGGTCGACCTCGGTTTCGCTCGTTTACTCTTGGTCGCCATTTCAGGATTTTCTTGGTTTATCCACCATCGTTTAAACTTGCAATATGCCCTGCCCATCTCCATTTTGCTGTTCTTATTCACTTCAGAACCTCAATAACCCCTGTTTTCTTACGAATGACGTCATTTCGTATTCTATCTATGAGACTTATACCAAGCATCGAGCGTTCCATTTTAGGTTGCGTTCTTTGTAGCTGTATGTTGATGTTTTCGTCAGGGTTAAGGTCTCCGCATCGAGAGTGAGCACATGTTGAAAGCTTCTCGGTTTAGTGTAATTGGGACACCATTTTTGGAGACATTTCGAAATCTGCCATATTACTATTATTTTCCGTTATCACACATGGTTCTGTGGTTCCTTGAGAGGGACACCGAGTGCACACCGTACTTCTGTGGCCGGATCCTCGGGCCAGGGAGTAGAGCTCCCCGATAGAACGAATGTTTTGTCCTTGTCAACGTTATCGAAAAGTGAACAAGAATGATAAAGACAAAAAATTTGTTCTCTCGGGAAGCCCTACTCCCTGGCCCGAGGATCGGCCACCTGGGGTGTTCCTTCGTCTACAGCACTTTGCGGATTATGTGTGCGGTGCTCAGCATAACAGTTTTTTGGATAGTAGATTGTGTTCTCCGAGGATCTGCTGGATGGCTTCACATGTTCTGTTTGAGACTAATCCTGTGGCTCCAATTACTATGAGTAGTTTTCATGTTCCACAGTCTTTGTGTTTCGATTTGGAGGTCGTTGTATTTAAGGTATTTTTCAGTTTCTTATTGTATTACATTGTAGTCTGATGGTATCGCACGCAACATTTATCAGCTGACACGTTCTTCGCTTCTTGTCTTTAATTATTATATCTGGCTTATTGGCTTTGATGGATCGGTATTATTATTATTATTATTTGCGGTGTTTCATATAAGTTGTTTCTTATACAGGGTGTATATTTTAAGTGATACCACTGTTGCTATATCCGAAACGGTAAGAGCTACAAGGTCTGTTAAATTAGAAAAAAGTTGCCTTTTTTAACGCCTATTTGAGATTCTTTTACAGTGTTGCCAAATTCCTTTAAGTTTATCAAATACAGGTTCATAACTAGGGCCGAATTAAGGTAAGATTTTTGTAAAAATCACTTTTCATTACTTTTTGGAGCAGAAACGTCGGCCAATCATACTTAAGAGGTATATCATTAGAAAGGAAATAAAAAGCGCTTTCTAAAAATGACATAAAAAATGAAGGTCCGTATTTAAAAAAATAAAGTTGATGATGGTCGCTCGATCACGAAACGTCTGATTCAAAATTTAAAGATTCCATGTTGTAGAACAAAAAAAATTCAAAAACTTTCAATTTCGAATTGTGTCTCCAAAATCAATAGTTTTCGAAATAATTGATGAAATATTATTAGGCGTTTCTTAGAAATCACCCTGTATTTCGTAAACGAAAAGGAATTTGGCAACACTATAAACGAGCCTTGAATGGGCATCAAAAAAAGCGACTTTTTCATAATTTAACCGACCCTGTAGCTCTCACTGTTTTGGATATATATAGCAATAGTGGTATCACTTAAAATATACACCCTGTATATGGTACCTAGAGTATGAAGCTCACCGAGTGCACACCGTGCACCTGGGGCGAACTTTTTATGTTGTAGAAACATCTACAACACCCTTCGCACAATATGGGCTGTTTTGAGCAGCACAGTTTTCTGTAGGCTAAGGAGATAGTGCCTTCCCGGGATCTCTTTTATGATTCTATTTGTATAATGGGATATGAGTCCTGTCGCTCCTATGACCACTTGTCTTCATGCTTTGCATCCTCGCGATTTCCAGTTGTAGATCTTTGTATTTCAGTAGCTTGTCTGCCTCTTTCTGAGCGATGTTATAATCTGAGAGGATAGAGACGTCTATCAATAGGCACTGCTTTTCAACTTTGTCTTTCAAGACAAGGTCCGGTTTATTCGTCTTTATTAACCGATCGGTTTGTATTTCAGTACCCCAAAGCATTGTCATCTTATCTTTGTTTACAACCGGGTCAGGTCTATGTTCATACCATTTGTCACTTTGATTCCATATTCCTTACATATATTTCAGTGCAGGTGGGCTGCGACTGCATTGTGGTGTGAATTTTCTTTCTTAGCCAGAATCGAGCAACCTGAGTCTATGTGATGGATGGTCTTGCTTTCTGTCCGGCACATTCTATATTGGTCTGTGCCAATCTTCAGGATTTTGGTTTTGAGATAATTAGTTGCTATCGGCTATCGACTGCTCTTGACAGGCAGTGATAAGTGACCTCTATCTCCACTTTTAGTTTTTCAAAGTTGAGCCACATCCAGGAGTTTGTTTTAGTTATGGTTTCTTTTTCTTGATACCCTGATGAGTAACTGGCCATGCATCTTCTTTCTTTTCCATCTGTTTATTGTTTCTTCTTCTCTTTGTTTTCAGCTCTGATCTTCTCCACTTTCTTGGTTTCAGAGATCCTACGTCCGCCGGGTGTTCTTGGTGTATCAGAAGAGTTACTTGTTGCAGTTGGGTGTCCTTGTTCCTTCCTTATATTTCGTCTGTACACCATCCCGAGATATTCATCCTGTTGTTTTAATTCTAGGTAATATGTGAGTCCCTGTGTTGTAATCTCTATATTTGTGAGTCCTCTACCGCCATCTCGCCTTGGAACATACAGTCTCTAATCTCGGATGCAGTGCGCCATGAATAGTTAACTGGTTTTTAGTTTTCCTGTCTATTGCTCTGATTTCTGCTAAAGTCCAATTGATTATTTCGAAAATGTACTGCAACACTGGAACTGCTAGTGTTATGATGGCTGATAGGTTATTTTTGGCAGTGAGCACAGTTTTGAAGATTGCTCTTGTTCTTCTCAGGTATTCTTGGGTAAGTTTCTTTTTTATTTTCTTATGGCTAATATTTTCATTTTCTTCTATACCTAAAGATTGTTTCGCCAGAGTTTGTACTTGCCACCAGCATTTGCCTTCCTTGTTTAACAAATAAAAATTGACTGAAACAAGTCAATGACGTCAAAAATGTTCATCGGTTCTTAAACCAGAAGTCATTCATTTCAATTTGTCAAAAAAATTGAATGTGTCATATGAATTAATCTACGACAACCCTTTTTTTTCAAGTTTCAAGGTCAAGTATGAACCCTGGTGAAACGAACCTTAGGTATTTATATATTATCTATTCACAATCCGATGTCCAAAGGTAAAGGTAAAATGTATCACCTTTCAGTGCTATTTGATAAGGAAAGGTGATAAATTTACCTTTACCTTTGGACTACCGATTGTGAATAGGATATATTTGATGCTCTTCAAGAGATCGAATGGCTGACTTTTCGTCCAGTTTTAGCCCGAATTCCATAAATATATCTTCGCTAAATACTCTTACTATTTCTAGCTGCTTTTCAAGTTCACATGTATCTCTTGATATCAGTTTCAAGTCATCTACATATAGCAGATGACTGATTCAACTTTTTTCGTGCTTGCATTGGTATCCAGTGTTTGATTAATTAAGAAGTGAGGTGAGTGGCAACAGTGCAAGGACAAAAAGCAGCGGTGACAGCGAGTTTCCGTGGTATATTCCACGTTCAATATTGATGTCTTTGACACATATACGGTTTCAGAGACTGTGGTCAGGTAGAGGTTGACCTTCGATAATCTCATCAGTTTTTCGATATAGGCAATTATGGTCTCTGAGGCTCTATTTATTTTGGGTGATTCCAGTATCCAACTATGAGGTAGACTGTCATATGCTTTTCGATAGTCAATCCCTATGGACTATGGACTTATGAAAGAAGGGCGATTGACAGCGGACTGCTTAGAGAATCCCGACAGTATATCAGAAAGTCAGCAGGAATGTGATCTGGGGGGCTTTATTTGAAATTGATGTAACTTTGCGTACACGCAAATTACTGCGATTGAAAATTGGTGCATGGCTTATTTGACATGCACTTTTTCAATCGTAAATGACGTCATTTACATTTACGCAAAGTTGCATCAATTTCAAATAAAGCCCCCATGGCCGCGGGCTCGAATCTTTTTTAACATCCTTCAATATAGGTATCCAAAACTATATCAGAAAAAGGGGGTTTAATTATTGATATTTCATTTAAGCATCTTGTGTTTATTGGCATAATTGGAAAGTTACTCATCGTATCCTAGGTATATACTTACTTTTTCAAATTGAGTGGCTAAGGATTCTGCAGTCTGTGCAAGTGCCTGAATGATCTCACCATGTTGGTTTTTAAAAGTTATTGATGTTAAATTAGAGTTAATAACGTGCTTAATATATGAGAAGAAATATTTATCAGTTCTTTCTAGCAAAGCAGATTCATATCGTTTCTGATCTTGTTTTAACTGGTTTCTAAGATGATTGTTGTGACTTCTGTATGCCTAAAATGCCACGTTTGTTCTCGTATTTCTGTACTTATCTCATAGTTTTCGTTTCTTCTTTATTTGTTTGAATATGCGTTCTGAAATCCAGGGTTTTTTCGAATTGCTTGGCACTTTTTTTAGAGGAATATTATCTTCAATAATATTTTGAATGGTTCTGATGCAATTGTCCATATTTTTTTCGTTTCAAGGTCAAGTATGAACCCTGGTGAAACGATATGTACTTATAATGAGTTTTTATCATTTTTCAACAATAAATTAAGAAGGGATTGTTGGTCTTTATTGTATCAAAATTTATCAACTGCCTTGAGTTAGATTCTTTGTAGAAAGTGATGAAGGCGTCTGAGGCGTAATTAAAGTGGGACAGAACCAGTTTTTTCAGATCATTCAGTACATCCTTGACTTAATCCCTCTATGTTTGTTTTTCCTATTATCTCTATACACTGAGTAGTTGTTGAAATTGATCATGCTATCAGGTATTCCTGGATGTAACCACGTTTTTGAAACAAGTATGACAAATGGCTTCAATTTTCAGACTTCAGCGTGAAGCTCAGAGGTTTTTGTAAATAATGAATTTCCGTTAGTATAATAAAAATCTAGATCTACTAACTGAGGCTAAGTACTTAGTTTTTTGGGACATTTCATTGACTCTGACTTTGACGAAAAGAAAAAGGAGAGAAGTTGCTGACTGATTTCTTTTTTTAATGGTTGGAGTGTTGTTTATATACTTTATCTTTAAATTTGTTTCACCCTTTTTCGTTCTTTCCTTCACAAATGCTTGTTCTTGCTTTGAAAAGTGTCTTTGGATGATTATTCGATCTCACTTCTGGCCTTTAGGTACTTCAAGTCTCTCTCATTGAAAGTATAACTTTGATTGGTCTAATCCTATCTGTTTCGTACTTGCCAAGCCTGAAATACTGAAACTCTTCCGGATCCTGATCATTGTTTAACTTCTATAGGGTTTGTTTGATGACATCCTTTTCTTTCTCCAGTCTTTCCTCTCATGTGTTTCAGATCTGACGAGAGTGTTGAGAAAATTTACGGAATTACTGATATATTAGGATTCAGGGTTCAAATTCTAGCACTGAGAAAATCAAGGCTTGTGCCACAGTGTAAAAAATGCCAAGCATATGGACAGACGCAAAAATACTGTTTCATGGAACCACGATGTGTTAGATGTACTGTTAAGCACCTAACAGTTGAGTGTGATAAGCCAAAGAATGACAAACCGAAGTGTATTCATTGTGGAGAGGGGCATACAGCCAACTACAGAGGATGCATAGTTGCAAAAGAAATGCAAAAACTAAAGGACAAGAAATCAATTCCTCCAAAGCAACCACAGAGGGACAACCAAAGAGTGTTGCTAGCTCGGTCGATAGACAACATAAGAGTAGGGCAAAAATCCTACAGTCAATCAGTTATTGGTAAGTCTGAATTGATTATCAATAAAAATTAAACTGAAAGGCAAGACCAAAATGTTTCTATTCAAAATTCTCTTCAACAAATTATGGAGAAATTAACAAAAATGGATGAACTTATTAGTAAACTTAAATATAGCGCTAAAGGAGCTATTTCCAAAAATCGTAATGTCGAGTAATCTTAGGATTATGGAATGGAATGCCAATGGACTCTTGCAGCACCAACAAGAGCTGCAAGCAGTCCTGGATACTGAGAACATTGATGTATGCCTTATTTCTGAGACACATTTTACTACTGAATCATTCATTAAATTTAAGGGATATAAAGTATATTACACTATACATCCCGAAAATGCAGCCAAAGGTGGAAGTGCAGTTGTAATTAAGGAATCAATTAAGCATTATCAAGAAATCGGGTATAAATCGGAACAGTTTTAAACTGCTTCGGTAAAATTGAAAACCAGAACATATGAGGTCGTTGTCTCTGCAGTATACTGTCCGCCAAGACATGCCCTCAAAAAAGAACAATATTTGGACGTTCTTAACAGCCACGGATATAGGTTCATCGTAGGTGGTGATTTTAATGCCAAGCATGTTCATTGGGGATCCAGGTTAACAAATACAAAGGGAAAGGAACTGCTGCAGGCAGTTAGTCAACTATATCAACTGGTCAGCCAACATATTGGCTTACAGACCCCAACAAAATCCCAGATTTGCTTGACTTCTTCATAATCAGAAATCTATCAGTAAACTATATACACGTGGAAGAAGCTTGGGATATGAATTCTGACCATTCTCCCATTCTACTCACGCTTAGTGACAGTATTATATAGATTAGTAAATAAACTGGCAGACTGAAAAAGCTTTAGATTACAACTTCATAAAAATATCAATCTGTTAGTGCCTGGCATTTCCGGCCCTAACTTCAAGCTCTCCAAGGCATTGGGTAAACATCTAACAATATTTCAAGCCGAACTGCTTGCCATAGATATATGTGCACAAGAGTGTCTTAACCAAAGCCTCAAAAGAAAACACATCTTCATACTATCGGACAGCCAAGCTGCCTTAAAAGCCTCAAGGGCTTTCAAATGCACGTCAAAACTAGTCTGGGAGTGTAAACAGACCCTAAAAACACTAGCGACACATAACCAGGTAACGCTGATGTGGCTGCCTGGTCATCGAGGTATAGAAGGAAACGAACACCAGGAAAATAGCTTCCTTCGGCAGAAGTCTACGCTTCCTGGAGACAAATTAAGATGTAGAGTCACGCACAAAATATCTGCAAAGGTAGCAGTGCTGAGCGGCTGAAAAGCCGAAATGACTTCCCCGAAATCTACAATCTAGTGCCTCTAAGAAATCAAGAACAACTAGATAATGAAACAGAATCATTTGTTAAGTTGATCCAACAAGCTGCATGGGACAATACTCCAGACCTTATCCATAGAACTAAAGGTAGCACACTGAATCAAATTTCAAAACAAAACCGAAAGATAATTCAGCCTGGTGCTAGTTCACGTTAAATGTACTTAAATAGTACCGTAGAAATACGTAATACTTATCGTAGAAAAAGCCATAACAATATGGAAAACAGTAGAATTGATATTTTGTAACCGATATGAAAAATACTGCTAGGAAAGAGCTGATTGGTTGGTATATTAGCAAACCTGCGTTGGGAACGCAGCCTAAAATTGAAGTACCAATAGTGAAATCGCCAGTGATAGGTGAGAATTTTCAGATTTTAAAAATCGAGATTCATGTTTGTTATTTTATCTTCAGTTTCTCCTGCACCTTCAATCATCCATAAACCGCTCAAACATTCAACTCTGACCAACAACAACAACAACATCGACATCGACCAGGAACAAGGTTGTTTGAAAGGAATTAGGTTGCCAGATAACTTTTATTACGTCATCCAGACAACTAAACATAATGCAAATTTCCATAAGATTGTCCTGATAACGTGATCTGTTTAGCATTACCAGACAACCTATTAACTTTAGGAACCTTGGACCAGGACAACGTGCAAACTGCACCAATGATCAGGAAAACTTTCGTTTTGCTTGCAAACCAATTTTGAATGCTGCCGCTGCGGAACATACAGAATTCAATTTGGATAGTTCGATATATAGGTTTTCGCCTACTAGACGAACAAGACGGCAAGTCTAAGTAATTTTTGTATTAAGTTTTCGTATAAAATAGCTTTACAATACAAATATATCCAGCTCCATTGTACATTGACAAATCTTCTCTATGCTTTTTCCCTTGAGTTGGACTTACCGTAGCAGTAATAATCAAACTAAACTCCCTATCGCCTCCATCATAGTCCAAAGCTCTCCGCAATATAACGTCCGGCTCGTGACTATTTTCCAAAGCGAATTTGCCCCTATCGTTACCCGCAACTATTGCGAAATGGACGTCGGAATTTGGAGTGTTCGGTTTGTCCCTGTCAATCGCCCTGATGCCTCTGTACAAAGTCAAGCCTAGAAAATTACGAGAATTTATAAATAAATTGCTAGATTCAGATACAGCGAACCGTTACTGTCCGCTAGATTACTCGACAGTCAATAAAGTTTGCGGTATCATATACGAAAACATTAAAGTGGATAATTAATTTTATAAATGAATTATTGGTTTTTTATTATTTTGCTACAGGTGTCAGGGATAATCGGTTTATATCCAACGGCAATTGATTTTAGTGTAAATTTTTAATTTTTTACTTACCAACAGGAAATAGTTCATCAACTTCTACAGTATAAGGAGAACCCAAAAACATTGGTGCATGGTCGTTGATGTCTTCAACATATACAGTTACAGATAAAGAAGATGTTATCTAGAACAATAAAAAACTGACCCTAATAATATTTCAACACAATTATGATTTTTTTTTATGTGCGTAGTAAATGTACTCCCCATCATTATCATTAACTTTAATTCAATTTTAATGCATTACATGGCCTAAATTTCCGTCAACACAAAATATCAGAGAAATGTATGTATTTTTGCATAAAAATAGAAGCGAAAGTAAACCGCAACCATATTTTTGATGCATATAGGTATTAAAATATGTGACCTTTTTTGGGATAATAGAAAGCTTAAGTATTATTTATTATCTGGTTCAAAAAATTATTAGTAGATTATTGCGTAATTTCTCACCGTATCTTCTCCATCGTTATAATCACAGCTCAGTTTGAATTTCAGTACGTTTCTTGGTCTATTCGTATCTACCAAATCTTCTAAGGATTTCGCTAATAGAAGTGAAACAGTGGTTTTGTTGACGTCTCGGAATGTGAAATAGTTTACGTCTTCAGTCTGAAACAAAGAAATAGTTGTCAGTCACACCCTATTTGATGCAACTTGAGATCTTACTCTCATACCTATAGTAAAAAAAAATTAAAATCAAGAAATTGAATTAAAGAACAGTTTTGAAAAAATAGAGAATTTTCATATTTCGCAATTAATTTTTTTTAGATACTTCTGTTAATCGGTAAAGACGACCTAGGACAACTGTAGAAAATATTTCAAACCATCATTTTTTATTTCATTCCAAAGAAAGATGGAAGTCTTAGATTTGGACTATCGTAAGCCTAACGTCGTCACCAAGAAGGACAGTTTTCCTCTTCCGAGGGTAGATGATACATTAACAACTCTATCGGGCTCCAAATCGTTTTCCACTTTGGATCTTAGGAGTGGATACTGGCAAGTAGCAATACATAGAAACGACAAAGAGAAAACTGCCTTCAGTACCGGAAGCGGGTTACACCAGTTTAACGTAATACCTTTCGGATTGTGTAATGCTCCACCTACGTTTGAGCGACTGATGCATCTTGTTTTGCGAAGCCTTACATGGAGAATTTGCCTGGTATATTTCGATGATGTCATGATCATAGAAAATTCGTTCCAAGAACATCTCAATTATAGCTGCTCCGCTTCATCGGAAGAAAAATCAACATTCAATTGGACCCAAGAATGCGATTCCGCTTTTAGAAAATTGAAAGGAGCATTATGTACAAGCCCAGTGTTGTCCTATCCCAATCAGAAAGGCATAGATGCAAGTAACGCCAGTATTGCAGCTGTCCTTTCACAAATTGAAAATTCGCAAGAGCATGTCCGTAGTGTACTGCAGCAGAACCTTATCAAAGCCGGAAAGAAATTATTGTATCACCAGAAGAGAGTTGCTTGCCATAGTAAAAGCAGTCGACCAGTTCCATAGGTATCACTACGGACACTTCTGATTCGAACAGATCACGCGGCTCTAAAATGGCTTTTAGAAATGAAATCTCTCGAAGAACAGCTTGCTAGATGGATTAAGAAATTGCAGCAATACGATTTCCAAATTAAACATCGACCTGGAAACCTGCATGAAAATGCTGACGGTCTGTCTAGACAGCCGTTTAAAGAAGACTGCAAGCATTGTCAAAGAATCGACATGCATGAGAAAAATACTGGTCCGGCTGTGAGAAGAACTGGTCTGATCGTTGATGATAAATGGACTACCAAACAAATGAGAGCAGATCAAGAAGCAGACCCATCGGACAATTTTTACATCTTAGAGAAAACGACGAATGTAGGCCAGAATGGAAGGAAGTGTCGAACAAGAGTTTGATTTACAACGAAACTTCGGATCTGCCACCTTTAAGAAAATTTGTGAGATCATGGGAATTCGTTAGAAAAGGACAACACCTTTACATCCACAGTCTGATGGCATGGTAGAACGATTTAATAAGACCATGGAGGAACACCTGACAAAAGTGGTCGCAAAGAACCAGCGAGATTGGGACAAACACTTTCCTCTATTTTCAATGGCTTACAGAGTAGCTGTTCTCGAGTCAACGGGTGAAAATCCAGCTGCTAGAATCGTTTTTGGAAGGGAACTCAGGTTACCCTGCGATCTGATGTTTGGAATACCTGAAGAAGAACGAAAAGAAATTCGAGATTATGCCGACGAAGTAAGGGCACGACTTCTGGGGATACATAATTTTGCTCGGAAGCATATCCAGCTGGCCAGTGGCCGAATGAAGACTTGAAAGCAAATTTGGCCGGATTTCAAGAAGGTGATCTAGTGTGGCTGTATAATCCAACAAGAAAGAAAGGAGTGTACTTTGTACATCTAGACAGTTTGACGTAATATGGTGGGCGTGAAGTTGATCAACCTTAAGAGGAGGGCAGTGTCGCAGTGCGCTTTTGCCATGGTGTACAGAATATAACTTGAAATCTTCAATTCTGAAAATTGATTTATTGATTCAAATCGATTCAGTGTGGAATCAGTTTTGTCAATGCTAGAAACAAAAATTCAAGACCTGGGAATAAATAGCAATTGAGACGGTGAGAAAAAAGTTGAGAAATAGAAAAAGGAAGTTTAAGACAATATTGATAGACATGAGTAATATAAGGCTCAATATAAGGCTCACTATGAAGCTACAGAACAAGGCCCTATCTAAATTTAAGCAACGTAACACGTCAGAAAACTGGGAAAACTATCGACGGCTTCGTAATCAAGTCAAAATCGTGATTCAAACTGAGAAAACAAACTACCTTGCAACTAATTTGAATATAGGCAATCCTAAAAATAATTGGAAGCTGCTTAGGGAGCTCGGTATATATTCGAAGGATCCTATATCTATTCCTGAACATCTTGGTAATGTGGATGACCATAAATCAATTTTTTATAAATGCTCCTTCTTCATCAACCCCTGATCCATCTACGTCACTCTTCTATCGGGAAAACAAAAAACAGGATGTCGTAAAGACTACAGTTGGGCAACAACACTTCTAAAGGTTACTGACGATATTCTTGAGGCGGCTGACTCTGGTGAACTCACTGCTTCGATCTTTCTGGACTATTCGAAGGCTTTTGATCGACTGAACCATGAGCTTTTCTTGGCAGTTCTGAGGTATCTTGGCTTTGAAAAAAACACCTGCGAACTTATTGAAAGTTACCTTTCTGGAAGAACACAGTCGGTGAAGGTTGGCCCTAGCGTACACCTCACATCTAACAAACAGCCTGAGGCACGCCAATGTGCACCTGTACGCAGACGATACCCAACTGTATATGTCATTTCGTCCAGAAAACATTTTTGAAGCCAATGATATACTAAATGCGGACCTAAACCGGCTGCTGTGGGTCTCAAATAATCACTGCTTGCTGATTAATCCTAAAAAGTGTCAGGTTTTGCTCTTTGGACGTGCGCAAAGTCGATCTCAATGCCAGGACATGCTTCGAATCAGCCCTAATAGTCAGGCTTAGAGTTGCTCAGCGGCAGCTAGAAACCTTGCAGTTTCGCTTGATGTTAACCTTAGGTTCACAGAACATATTAATTATTGTATGAGAAAGGCATTCGCTAAGCTGAAGGTCATTTTCAATGAGAGACGCCTCTTGAATGCAGTCTGGTTCTATCACAATTCACATTTTGTGATGCTCTGTACGGCCCATGTCTGCTCGAAAGTGATGCCAGACATATCCAACTGATTCAGAATTGCTGCGTGCGTTTGGTAGGTGGCACAAGGAAGTATAACAGAGGGGTGAGTGATAAGATGAGGGAAATAGGTTGGTTCAGCATGAGTGAGAGGAGACTGCTCCATAGCTTAGTAATGTACTACAACAAAATATATTTTTTTAAATGTCCGGATTATTTATATCAAAAAATAAAATTTAGATATGACTCTCATGCTCTGGATTTGAGGCATAAACTAACCATCACTCCTCTAACCAAAACAACTCTATATGAAAGGTCATTCACTTATCAAATCTCGCTACAGTACAATAAAGTTCCTGTTAACTTGAAATCTGCTCCCACCCAATTTTTCAAAAATGCAATAGGCAATTTGATTAAATAAATTAACGCTGCACCTTAGTCTATCCAGCCTTTCCAATTTTTTCCAATTTCTTTTTTCTATTCATTCGTATCGGTTAGATTTAACTTATTGTATTTGGTTAAGTGAGGAAGCCTAGCTTCAATTCCAGGCTCTTGAATTTTCTTTATTTAGACAGGTTCGGGAAATATCAGACATTCAAGCAATAGACAAAAAGAATACAAAAATTGAGACGTAAAATTTGGAAAATCTATAAATGAGAAGTAGACATATATTTTTTATTCCAGGCTTTCAAATTTCCTCATGTAGAGAAGTTTGGAAATATTCAAAAGCTCAGTAGATATTCCAGATTCTTGAAGTTTGTTCAGTTAGAAAACTTTGGAAAAATTCAAGACTCTGGATTAGACAAAAAGTAGAAAAATATAAACATAAACACGTAAAAAATTTGAAAAATAAAGAAATTGAATTTAAGAATAGAAAACATTGTTAGACAATAAAGAAGTAAATTTTTTTCTATTACAGACTTGAATTTCCTCTATTTAGAGTTTGGAAAGAATCCAGAGCTAAAGGCCCAGGAATAAACAAAAATGTAGACGAAAATATTAATTCCTTTTTTTCCATTACAGGTTCCTAAATTTTCTTTATTTAGAGAAATTGAGAAGAAAACAATAATTTCAAGACCCTCTAGAAAATACGAAATTTGAGACGTGAAGAAAAATTGTCAAAAATTGTGAAAAATACAGAGTAAAGTCAATTTTTTTTCTATTCCAGGCTTTTGGAAAAATAGCAGAATTAAATTTGGGACTAATTTTGAAAAAATTATTGGACAATTAAGCAGACATTTTTTATATTACAGGCACTTGAATTTTCTCCATTTAGAAAAGCTTGAAAAGAATCCAAAGCTCAACAAAGTGTGGACGAGAAAATTGATTCGTTTTTTTTTCTCCTATATTTTTTTCCTTTCAATTCGGGTTCCCGGTTCCCGAATTTTTTTTTATTTAGAAAAAGAAAACAGAATTTTGAGGCTCTTCTAGAATAGAGGAAAGTTTTCTTTAGTTTTTAGTTAGGGAATTTTGGGAAGAATCAAAAGCTCAAGGTCCTGGAATAGAAAAAAAATAGACAAAAAATAGACAAAAACTGGGACGTGGAATTTGAAAAATAGAAAAATGAAAAAGGAGACATATTTTTTTATTCCAGGCTCTCGAATTTCAGGGTTGACGAAAATCCGGGGTTTTGAAAATTTCTACTGAATTTTAGTATTTTTCCTGGTTATATGAGAGTTTTTGTGTTCACTTAACTACACAAAATTGTTTATTTGTTTCAACTCTCAACAGTTTTACATCTGAGATTCCTCAAAATTGAATTCATTGAATAAGTATCGAAAATTTTCCAAAAATGACACAGTTGTATCCAATTTCAATGTAATTAAGCTCTAATTACAGCCAATTTAATTCTTTTCGAACCTGTTTTTTGAGATTTTAATTTGGTTTCAACAGTTT